TGTGCCATGTTGAACTTGAAAGAGGATAAATCAGTGATTTCTGTCTATCTTAGTGGAGCAGATGGAGAGTTTTCTTCTTTCCTTCATTTTATTTCTTCTGTGATAGTGCTGTTAACATTTACGGTCTTTCCTCCTTAGTTAATGTTCCTCAGAGATACACTCACAGACACACCTGGAAGTATGATTTACTCATTTCCTAGGTACTTCTTGATCCACTGAAGTTGACCATCAGGATTAACCATCATAGGTCCTATTTAGCTACATTCTTGTCTCAGTGTCTCCTACAAAGCAGCAAACCAGATGTTAGTTGGTACCAGGGTGTCATTTGAAATCTGAAGTTCTGTGAGCTTCCTTTTGCTTCCCTGATAGGGATGATGACCACATACCTTGTTGCTTAAACAAGAGAGATTTATCTTATAACCATTGAGGTAAAAAATGCAGAATGAATATGATGGCCTGCAATAATCATACTAGCAGGGCTGCAATCTTTTTGGATTGCAGGCTCTATGGGAAAAAATTTGCTTCCTCCCCTTTTTGCCACATATATTCTTTTGCTTATGGCTACTTCTTGTATCTTTAAAACCATGAACACGCCAAGGTTTTCTTTTTTCAGTTTGTCTGTTTTTGTGTATTTTCTTGTAGCCCAGGCTGGTTTAAAACTCCTTATATAGTTCTGGCTGCCCTTGAACTCCTGATCCTCCTGCGTCTGCCTCCCAAGTATTGTGATTAGAGACGTGCCCCACCACACTTGAGTTTTTAGGATCTTCTATGCATACAGTCCTGTTACCTACAAATACAGTTTAGCATCCTTCACATTTGGATGCCTTTTCTTGTTCTTGCTACTGTGTTGAATAGAATTGGTAGAGTGGGCATCATTGTCTTGTTCCTTGTGTTAGAAGAAAAGCTTTCAGTTGTTGTACCTTTAACTGTGGTGTTACCTGATTCCTTAGCCTATGTGGCCTTCATTTGATTTAATTACATTACTTTCACTCTAGTTACTTTTCCAGTTGCTGTGAGAAAATGCTCTGAGAAAAGCACCTTAAGGGAGGGTTATTTTTGCTCAGTTTGAGAGAGTATAGCCCATCATGGTGGAGAAGACATAGCAGCAGGAGTGTGAGGTAGTCACATGCATCCACAGTTAGGTAGCAGAGAGAGATGACAACTTATGCTCAACTCACTTCATGCTTTTTGCACAGTCCAGGATCGCCACCCAAAGAATGGTGCCATCCACTGTGGGTGGTTCTTTTCAAGACAATTAACCTAGTCAAGATAATCCCTTACTGCATAGGCAGAGGCCTGTCTCACAGATGGTTCTAGAGCTCATCAAGTTACCAACTGAAATTAACCACCATAACTTCTAGAGGTAATGTGTTGAGAATTTTTATCAAAAAGCTGTTCAATTTTGCCAAATTCTCTTTCTATGACTACTGAGATGATTACATGATTTTTATGCTTCATACTTTTAATATTTATTGATTTAAGTTCTGTTGAACAATTCTTGTGTACCAGGCATAAATCCAGTTTTGATCATGGTGTGTAATCTTTTAAATGTGCTGTTGAATTCTGTTAATTCAATTCTGTTAATTCTGCTAATGTTTCCCTGATGTTTTTTTTTTGCCTCTGTTCATGCAAGTTTCCTTGTTTGTGGCATTCTTGTCTGGCTTTGGCATGAGGGTCATGCTGGTCTCATGAAGTAAATTTAGAATTATTCCCCCTTCTTCAAATCTGCAAGAATTTGAGAAGGATTAGCTTTAATTTTTCTTTGAATTCTTCAAAGAATTCATTTTTATAGCCATCTGTTCCCCAGATATTTATTTGTTAGGAGGTCTTGATTATTCAATTTTTAAATGATTATTCATCTGTTTATATTTTTATTTTTCATAATTAAGTCTTAATAGTTTGTGTGCTTCTAGAATTTGGTACAATTTGTTGGAATACATTGTCCATTGTATTTATTTAGTATTAGTTGCAATGTCTTCTCTCCCATTTATAATTTTTAATGATTATAGCAGAAATAAAGATTTTTAAATTTTGTTTACTTTTTTTAAAAAAGCCAACTTGAGCTTTCCTTCCCTTCATTTCCCCATTTCTTTGTTTCCTTTTGTTCTAGGGAACAAATCTAGGACCTCAATGTAAATAAATGTATGCTTACCTCTGAGCTGTACCTCCAGCCCACTGAATCTTAACTCCATTAAAGCTTCCTGTTGTTTTTCTTTTCTGTAATTCTTTGTCCTTCCTGGTTTCTCCACATCCTTCTGTGCCACTTCTTCCTCCTCTTCCCTCTTTTGAGACTGAGTCTTACTATCTTGGTAAGTAGTCCTGGGTAGTCTCCAGTGCAAGGTCCTCCCACGCCAGCTTCCTGAGTGCTGGACATGCACCACTTTGACTGGTCTTTCCAGCTTTTTAGCCATTTTTTCTCTTATGGGTCATGGTTCTGTTGTCAAATATGTGAACTCTTTGTCAAACATTCAATTCTGAAATACTTTCCTCTAAAATTTTTATGATTTTGTATTTAAGCAAATATAATCCATCCATTTTCAGTTGATTTTATATAAAAATGAAACCCATTGCTTTTTATTTTGGAAGTCTAATTATTCCAGCACCTTTTACTGAAAAGATTCTTTTCTCCATTGAGTTGCTTTGCATATGTATAAAAAAATCACTTGAACATATCTGAAGTCTTTTGAGCTCTTCATTCTACTCTGTTGCCCTGTGTATCTATCCATCTGCCACATCTTGACAACTGCAACTATAAAATGAGCCTTAATATTAGGTAGAGTGATTCATCCCACTATTCTTTTCAAGGTGTTTAAAAAGCTAATCTAAGGTTTCTGCCTTTCCATAAAATTTTTAGATTTGACTATTTCTAGAAAAATAATCAGTGAGACTTTTGTAGGCTTGCACTGAACATATACATGATATATATTTATATATATAAAATCAGTGTGGAAGCTGACATTTCCACTCTGTTGAGTTCTCCAGTCCATGAACTTAGTATGTTTCTCTGTTTTTTAGATCCTCTTTATTTATTTATTTATTTATTTATTTATATTTTTATAACTTTCTACCCCTAGATTTACTTTATCTGAATATAATAGTTTTTCACACTGTTTTAAAGGTATATATTTTAATATATTGTTTTCTTTTACTTTATGAATGGTGGGTTTTGGATTCCATATGTTCATTACTATTACATGTTGATACTATTGATTTCATTTCCAAGACCCTGCTGAATTTGCTCACTAGTTCCCCATGTTTACATTCTTTTCAGTTTTCTGTGAAGATTATCAAGTCACCTGCAAATATCGACAGATTGATTCCTTCTTTTACAATCTGCATATTTTCTCTTCTTTTAGTTATAGAACTTGCAGCACTGTGTGACAGTGAGGTTGCTTTGCTCCTGATCTTTCAGGAAGACAATTCAGTCTTTAACTGTTTTCTAGAGAACAGTCCTGAAACTGAGGGAGTTCTCCTTTAATCTTAAATTGGCGAAGAATACCCTTTTCATAAAATGTTCTAGATTTTTCCATGTCAATAATATATGATTTTTCATCTTTAGCTGGTGCATTGATTTATTTTCAGGTCTTATCTAGCTGAAGTCTCATATTTTCGATGGTCTGAACAACTCTCCCCTTGTTTCTCCTCCTTGGGAATTGAAACCCCAAGCTGTCTGTCTTGCCAGTCATTTATTGTGACATGTCAAGTATATATACACTTTGTTTTGATTTCCCCCCTCTCTCGTACCTCCTCTGTTTTTATTTTTTTGTTTTCTTCTGTGTACCTCGTGAAAGTCTTTTGCCTAAGGAGGACAGAAGAAGGCATCAGACTCCGTGGGACTGGAGTTACAGAAAACTATGAGTAGGCATGTAGGTACTGGGAATTGAATCTGGATCCAAGAAGCCAATGCTCTTAACCATTGAGCCATCTCTTGATTTCATATCCATTATTTCTTTTGATGTTTATACTTTCATATCCAGGAGATATCTCCAAATATAATGTCACAAATATTTTTCAAAATGTTTTTAAAAAGTTCTTATCTTTAGATCTCTGATCTATTTTTAGTTGATTTTTATAGATGGTCAACTTCGTTCCTTTGCTTCTATGCTCATACTATTTTTCTCTTGTGTGCTTGCTGTAGCACTGTCATTACCTTTCCCTTAGAATGTCTTCAGTTATAGGAATAATTATGGCAAATTCTAAAGTTTAATAGAAGAAACTGTTGAAAAATTCATGAGTGCCATGTAACTGATGTAAAAGGAACCCATACTTCTTCTTTTTTTTTTTTTTTTTTTTTTTTTTTCCGAGGCAGGGTTTCTCTGCATAGCTTTGCGCCTTTCCTGGGACTCACTTGGTAGCCCAGGCTGGCCTCGAACTCACAGAGATCCGCCTGGCTCTGCCTCCCACATGCTGGGATTAAAGGCGTGCGCCACCACCGCCCGGCGGAACCCATACTTCTAAAAGAATCTGCGTATAGTCAAAGACCATTTACAAAATGTACGTGTGTGTGTGTGTGTGTGTGTGTGTGTGTGTGTGTGTGTATTTGTCTGTTTTAACCACTTTCAGTTTATAATTCTCTATACATCATAGAAAATGCCAGTCCATTAATCTCCAGGCATTTTCTGTAGTTCAGTTGCCGGATTAATAGTGGAGGAAACCATGGTTTGAAGGTCTTGGGGATCATGCTTAAGCTCTAGAACTCCTTAGTTCATATGGCCAGGAGATCTGGGCTCATGTTATAGCTCTACTCATCAAGTGTTGAGATGTGGAGCTACATTTTTTTCTCAGTCCCCATCCTATAAAGAAGAGTGATCAGAATCTCCCTCACTTAAACCTTTTCTATCTCTTTGGCATGTTTTTCCAAATGATTATGAGGTCATATAGGTTTCAAGCACTAAGACAAGAGTACTCTATTCTGGTGTGACTTTTAAAACTATAATGTAAGTATACTTTTTTTTTTTTATTAAACCTATGACTCTTGCTGTCTTCCCTCCTATTTTCAGGGAGATGGGACCATGTTGCCACAACCACAACTAGAAGGCCAGGAACAACTAGAGCACCACCAAATCCTGTGGGTAAGATGAGCTCTCTGAGGAGAGAAGTAAGGAAGGATTTCTACATCACCTACTTGTTTGAGTGTCCTAGTTAGAGTGTCTATGGTGTGATGAAACACCATGACCAAAAGCAAGTTGGGGATGAAAGGGTTTATTTGGCTTATACTTCCACTTTACTGTTCATCACTGAATGAAGTCAGGACAGGAACTCAAGCAGGACAGGAACCTGGAGGCAGGAGCTGATTGATGCAGAGGACATGGAGGAGTGCTGCTTTCCAGCTTGCTCCCCATGGCTTGCTTAGCCTGATCTCTTATAGAAAACAGGACCACCAGCCCAGGGATGGGACCACCCACAATGGGCTGGGCCCTTCTGCACCAACCACTAATTAAGAAAATGTCCTACATGCTTGCCTACACCTTGATCTTATGGAGACATTTTCTCAAATGGGGTTTCTCCTTTCAGATGACTCTAGCTTGTGTCCAGTTGACATAAAAACTACCCAGGACAGTGGGTGATTGTTTCTTTTGTTTTGTGGTCCCTAGAACCAGATGATTTAAACTTGGCTGATGCCTTGGATGATCAAAATGTTATAGATGGCGGCAAAAAACCAAATGTAGGAGAAGGAGGAGGTAAGTCCTAGCTGCTTGAAATTACGGACCAGTGCTACAGTTCTTGGTAGGGTCTGTCTTGTTACCTGTAATAGCATTGAGAGCCATTTTGAGTACTATAGATCTAGGCCACTTCAAGCTGCAGGAGAACTGTACAATAGTCATGCCGAAACTTTTTGATCTTGGGATTCCCGAAATTATTTGAAATCTCAATAACTTTTATCTATGTGGGTCATATCCCTCAGTGTTTATCATCTGTATATTTAAGACTTAAAATAAAGCAGTATTATCAGTCTAAAATGATTAATACTAAAGCCATACATATTAACACAAATAGCACAGTTTATGAGAAATTACTATGTGTGACAAGATAAAAACAATTTATTGAGAAGTGTGGCATTATTTTACATATCTTGGAATTGTCTAGAATGCTCATCTTGCTAGGAGATAACCAGATTCTCATATTGAAATATGCTGCTTGAAAGCTGTCTTCTGACCTTCACATGTGTACTGTGGCACATGCATGCCTACACACACACACACACACACACACACACACACGCGCGCGCGCGCATGCACACACACACACACACACACACACACACACACACACACACACTCTAAATACAATTAAATTTAGGATATTAAAACAGATATGTAGCTGGGCGGTGATGGCTCACGCCTTTCATCCCAGCACTTGGGAGGCAGAGGCAGGCGGATCTCTGTGAGTTCGAGGCCAGCCTGGGCTACCAAGTGAGTTCCAGGAAAAGGTGCAAAGCTACATAGAGAAACCCTGTCTCGAAAAACCAAAAAAAAAAAAAAAACAGATATGTAACCGAATAATAAATAAATAAAAGTGTTTTAGTAACTTTTCCTCACTCAGTTACCCTTTAGTTACTTTTCTAGTTGCCCTGAATACCTGACAAGCAAAGCAGAGGAGGAGGGGTTCATTCATTCATTTGGCCGGCTTATGGTTTCAGAAGTGATTGGGTCCCAACAAAACTCAATTGGTCACATTGTATCAACACTCAGCAAGCACAGAGAGAGACAGGAAGTAGGCTAGTGAAGCTCAAAGGTTAGTTCCCAGTGACATATTTCCAAAAGCTGGGGGGTCAAGTGTTCCAACACGTGAGCCTATAGAATTATTTCCTATTTGAACTATAGCACCCATTCAATGGACTTTTGCCCATTTGTTGTTTTGTAACATTGCAGGTTAATTGTTGAAGATTTCTCAAACTTCAGTGTAATGCCATACTTTATTATGAAAAACCAAAAGCCACATCTGGTACTAATACCACCAATGTCATTGGAAAGTCTTTATGCAGTGGGATGCTACTAGACTCACAGTAGCTGATAGAGGCTTCACTTGAAATCTTATTGACAAGTACCATCAGTGACTGTCCTGAACTGATGGATTCATTTCATTCAGTTTTAAGAAATGCTTCCCAAATAATCAAGTTGGTACAGTATTCATTCTGCCCAGCAAGAATGGTCTGTTATGACACAAAGCAGATAAAGTCAATTAGAACTGAAACCATCATACAAGTGACTTTTGTGAGTCACTTCTAGTACTTTGGAATACAGCAGAAAGGGTTTAAGCACACTTTGCATTTCAGTACATAGGACATTCAGGAAGATATGTACTTAATAGTTGAACTATAATTAATGATTCTGTTTCTCATGTGAGTTATTTATAGTTGTCTCACAAATCACGAGAAACTTAGGGAGAATTTTGAAAATAGAAATGTGGAGGCCCACAAAGGTTTCCTAGTGAAATCTGGGCTTGCTTCACCCAGCAGAGCTGCATTAGAGGATTGCTTGACCATGTGCATGGCTACCAGGTGATTGGAAAGGTCTGCACTTGGCTGTGCTGGGGGGGGATGTCTTTTGCTCCACCCATTGGCATTCCTATATAAAGCCCTTTAGAAGAGACAGAAGGAGCCTGTGGATAATGACCCAGCCCCCCCCCCCCAGACTGTCCTGTGTTTCTTTCCCTTCTAGCCTATGTAATATGTCTTATCCCTCTCTCATCAAGAGTACCCTGGAGTAAAAATTGGGAGCTGGTCTCCCAGCTGGCCTCCCACAAAGAAATGAGTTAAGATTTCCTTTGCCCAGTTAAGAAGCTGAGTTTACTATTCAGAGTCTCAGATAGCGGCAATCCAGGTCCTGGGAAGGGGTCTTATCTGAGCTAAGGTACTCTTCAGAAGAAGGTCATGTGGTTTGTTGATACAGTATATTTCCCTTCAGCTATAGAGATAGTGGCTCCTTTAAGACCAGCAGGAGAAAGAGGACAGGGAGCTCCCATGTCTGAGCTCAGGGAAGCCCAAAACAAGCTTTGAAAGAGATAACTTTGTTAAGTCAGGCTCTTAATTACTTTGACAAAAATCTCTTCATCTTTGGCATATAATGCAACTTAATCACTAGGATTATATTCATTTTCTCTATGGCCCCACAAAAACTCAAGTTGACTGGAGGTTATACAGAACATATATACTGGCAGTGGGATTCTCTTTCTTCTCTCTCATCTTCCTTCCCTTCCTCCTCCTTCTTTCCCCATCTCTCTTTTGTTTTGGCACCAGACATGGTTCTCAGGGCCTTATATGTACTGTATCACTGAGCCACACTCCCAGTACCATGAAGAACATCCAAGTGTCATTGGCAAGATTTATTTTTTGCTGCTGAAATAGTTTTGTCACTGAAATGTATTTTTTTCTAGGTTTGTCAGACAAGGATCTTGAGGACATACTGGGAGGTGGGGAATACAAACCTGATAAGAATAAAGGTAGGAAGATTTCTTTGTCCAGCCACACACCTAATTCTCATTCAGATGTTTACCATTCAAGTCTCCAGGTAAAGCCTGCCATTCTTACTCAGCCTCTGGAAAATAAGCCTTAGATATTTCTACTTGTTTTGGGGGTGGCTTGTCACTTTGGGGGTGGGGGCCCATTTGTAAGCCATCCTGGAGAAGCTGACCTTTTGCCCTGTTGTTCTTTATGCCAAGGTACCTACCTGGGCTAGTGTCCCCACCATAGCAGATGCCTCTTTATGAGGCAGCACCAAGAGGCTGTGGTAGGACAGTCACAGGAGGTATCATGGTATTACCAAGACAGCCCGCCCTACTTGGAAATCCAGTTTTCCATGCAGTGAGATGGTTCAAACATAACAAATATTTTAAAGAAGCACCTAGCAAATCAGATCTTTTAATAATATCTGTGTATTAAAAGAAGTTTAGGACTGGTAGAAGTTTTAAAATGGTTCAGGAAGGTTCCTGTATACTCTTGACCCAGTTTCTCCCAAGGATCCTTGATTGCAAATCCACAGTCATAGATTACCTAGAGTAGGAAGCTGACATCTGTACAATAAAGTCAACCACTGACCTGGGGATTTTGTCAATCTTATCTTACATGCACTGGTGTGTATGTACGTGTGTGTGTGTGTGTGTGTGTGTGTGTGTGTGTGTGTGTGTGCATGCATATGTGTGTGTGTGTGTGTGTGTGTTTGTGTGTGTGAAATTTTATCACAATTGTCGATTTCAATAACCATCACCACAACTGGGGAGACATTATAATATATTCTCTTATTTATGCTGCCCTGAATAGCCATGTCCTTCCCAAAGTCACATGTTTGTAGTTCCCTCAGCTATTAATGATTTAAACCTTTCATCATATTATATGTCAAGTTGGATCTTAAGTATAGGGTCTGAGATATAAGCAGGCTTGTGGGTGTGTTCATGTTGGAATCCATAGGTGTAAAACGCTACAACTGTGGCCTCTACAATCATTTGTGATAAGATGTTAGAATGATAAGGTGTGATGTTTGATACCCTTTCCTTATTATTCCCTGTTGTGATGGAAAATTGTAGCAGGGTCTGAAGGCTGCAAGTTGTGAGTATATCTGGGTATCATACTTCAAGACCCCCTCCCCAAGCCCTGACTGAAACATTTGCTTCTTTCTTGGAAGCACTGTGCCTTTCATATAGGAACAGTGTTCTCTTTTGCTTAAAGTGTACCATAGTCACATTTGTCCCCAGAAACACCTTTCCAGGTGGTGTCATCTCTAGGAAATAGCTCTAAAAGCCTCTAAATGAAACTTCCAGTTGTCAGAAGAACATGGAGCATTTAAAGGGCAAACCAGCAAATGAGCCAATTACTCCTGGGTGACAATTGGTGTTTCCAGATGGGAAGATGAGAGCAGTGGTCACATATGTAAGCATGTACAAGACTGAAAGTCTGAGTGACATGCCAGGGGCTTTTCTTCATTAACAATACTTGTTTTAGTAAGGAAGACGTGTTAGGAAATTCTTTAATTAGGCTCATATTGAAGCTTGCCTTGTAAAGAATAATCAATTGTTGGCTTCAGTTTCTCCCCCTGTCATCATAGGTGTCAGGAAAGAAGATCAAAGGGTGAAACTGGAACATGAGTGAGATTCACAGAAACCATCCCTTACACCAAAACAAGCTCATGATTGGGCACTTCCCAGGCTTTAGTCTTCACCACATAGCTTCAGTTATTGTTCTAGAGTCGATTTCTGAAGTAATATATTATCTGTTGTGTATTGTTTTCTCAAGACAACATTTTGGCAGACTGTGTCTGGCTCAAATGAGTTTGTTACTGGGTCCTCTTGCATCTGTTGAGGCGAGTTGTTTGTAAACCTTCTACTCTTACCCCTCCCTTGCCCTTCCTGGACTCAGATTGTTGCCTTTGTTTGCCAGCAGCCTCCTTCTTTTCCTAACACAGATAGAAGAAGTACCAGAGAGATTTCTTTGGACTTATTTCCACAATCTTTCTAGCTTTAACATGAGAGAATACATGCCAGGTATTTCTATTGTTCTGTAGTGTAGAGACATGACAGACACTCCAAGTCCCTGCAACACACCAAGGAATATGGCATGAACATACGGGGTTTTACTGAGCTATACTTAATATGAAACATTGGGTGTTTTAAAGTCCCATATTATATCAGGACAAGACAACATCAGATTATCTACAGAATATTCTCAGTTCTGTGTTGGGGAATAGACAAGATGTGGCTGGGAGAATTTCTGCAACAGTGAGAATACCTTGGTGGTTAGCCCAGGCACTCAGTATGTCTCGGCATGGTTTGTCCATTTGATTTTATTTGGTAACTGTAAGTCATTTGCAGTAATGTCTTTTCCTTTTTTGTTTATTCCTTTTTTTCTTGGCAGGGTCTTATTTGTAGCCCCAGCTTGCCTGGATGTCATGAGCTTCCTGCCTTAGCCTTCTAGATGTTAGATTCAAGAGAGGCACCACCATGCACAACTTTATTTATTGGTTTAAAAAAATTACACTTCTCTTGTTAAAATAAAAGTACATTTTAAAAAATATCTAAAAAGCCTTCTTGTTGGAAGCCTGGGATACTCACAATGTCCTTAAACACTTGAATACCTCCCCAACAGTTGTAGACATAATCACTCTACTGTTCCATGACTCTGTGTGTCCTTGACAACCGGTTGCGTCAGGCACTCACTGTGAGCCACGAAATGAGCTGCCGTCAGAGAAAGGCAAGCACATGCCTTGTGTCCCTGTCTCTCCCAGTAAGTGGCTCTGTAGAACTCAAGGCTGACGTCTATATGTGCATTGTTGTCTTTGTATTTGAGATACTAGGAGTCTGGCACCTCTGTTGACAACAGAGCTTATTCACAACATCTTAATCCATTCTCTTTCACTATAACAGAATGTCCAAGGCAGAGTAATTAATAAAGGAAAGAAGTTTATTTACCTCACAGTTCTGGAAGCTAGAAGACCAAGATTGGTGGCTACATCCAGTGAAGGCCTCGTGTTCCACCCTAACATGGCAGAAACACAAAAGGTCAAATGAACGCAGACCCATGAGACAAAACACAAAGGCAGGCTCTCTTTGTAACAACCCAATGTTGTGGCAACTAACCCAGTCCCAGGACAAAAGCATTATACTGCCACAATGGCAATCAACTTTCACCACAAGTTTCCATGGGGCAAGATTTATTCAAACCACTGCACATAACTTCCTTACTGAGGCAATGCCTCTTATTCTACAGGGTCCATTCAAGCAATGGTGGTTGCTATAGCTATGTGGTCCCTATCTCTATGGGACCTTTTATAGGAGCCCTTACTACCATTGCAGTAACAGTCTCTGTAGCAATGACAGTCACTATAGTTACAGCTAGGTTCCCTAGAGCTAGGTATTCTGTATAACTATCTTTGTGAGCAGATGTGTATCCTGAAAGCAAATTACAGTATAATATATACCATAGGAGGAAATTTGGGCCTGTGTTTGAACTCAGGGCAGTCCTCTTGCCCTAGCCTCCCAGGAAGCTTAACTGTGTGCTGGGATTACAGGTATGTGTTCCTATATCCAGCATATGCTATCCTTTTAAAACCAGTATCTATTCAGTAATACTCAAGATATTTTTCTCTATTATGTAGATTTTGAAATACCATCAGTGACTACTTAACACTATATTACACTACAATTTATTTATCTATCATTTAGCCTATTTTGTGTAGTGGTTCTTCTAGCTTTTCAATTATACACAGTGCTTTGAACACTGTTGAGCCAAATATGAAAGGCCACAGTTGTTTTTGTCAGACCAATTCCTAGCACTAAAATTGCTGAGACATAAGATGCATACATTTTTAAAAATATGACTCTAAATGACATTACCAAATGATTCCCCATTAAGGTGGCACCAACCTCCATTTGCCCTGCTAGGAAGTAAGCAGGTATCCATTTTCTCCAATACTAACCTCAGACTAGCAAGCATTATGGTTTTGTAATCTTTGTGAATTCAATCAGAACAAAACATTTGTCCTAGTCATTTTTTTCATTTCTTTGAATCTGTGTGTTATTAGAAACTCAATATATTTTGTGATCTGTTCATGTCCTTGACCCATTTTTTTCCTCATTTTTTTCTAACAAATTATTTTATATTATGGAGCCCTTTTCCAAATATTGCCAAACATTTTATTTAGTTACTCGACAGTTCATGGACCAGTGTACCAAAGGACATAATGAATGAAGTATGTTTCTGTGAACATCTGTATACAAATACATAGAAGTTTTTACACGGGCACAATTTTCAACTGTCTCAAGGATGTTTGGGCACTGGCATATGCTCAGCCTCTGCTAGGGCCTCTGTGCTGGGTCCAGACGTGATGGGAAGGATCACTTGTAAGACAGAGCAAGCATTCTGGCTTGTGTCTCTCTTCCTCTTTTGATAAAACCTAGAGGTCAACCTGAAAGCTCCACCCCTATGACCTCATTTAATCATAATTATCTCCCAAAGGCCTCACTTTCAAATACCATTAACATGTGACCCTAAAGATCAGGCTTCTGGCAACTTGAATTCTAGGAAACACATTCAAATCATAGAAGTGATATTGCTAGTGCATGCCGTAACTTTGTTTCATGTTTCCAGGAGCTACTAAGCTGTTTCCACAGAAGCTGGGCAATTTCTCATCCTTACTAACAATGTATGAGGGTTCTAGGTTCTCCATATCCTTGTTAGACTCTCCCCTTCTTTTCATTTCCTCCCCCTCCTAAAGTGTTGGAATGTTAAGGCACACTGAGCTTCATTTGCATTTTTCTTCTGATTAAGTTAGTCCCTTCTCAGGTACACATTTGTCAGTATTTGGGGAGTTATCATTCTACTTGTTTGTTTTGAGACAGGGCCTCTGCCTCCTAATTCTCCTATTTCAGTGTGGAGATTACAGGTATATGACAGTACATCTAAATTTCACTTCATAGGTATACTAGGTCTCTCTTTCCCTTTTCTCCCCATCTCACTTTTTTATTTTGTTTTTGAGACTGTCTCATTATATAGCACAAGCTGGCCTTGAACACATAATCATTCTGTTTTAGCCTCCCTTGTGCAGGAATTTAAGTTTGTGCTACCACATTCAGTTTATTGCACTTATTTGTAATGTTTTTTGAGGCACAAGAGTGTCTCTGTCTCTCTTATCTGCTCTCACTCACTTGTTCAATCTTGCTTATGCATTTATTACTGAAGTTCTTACTTTTAATAGACTCTTTTCTATTTTGTATTTCTGATTTTATGATCATGTTTAAAAGCTAACCCTTGCTCCTGAGATACTATAAATGCTGTCCTAAAATGTCTTGTGGTTTTACCCATTTCATTTTTTATTGGAAATTCATTTTCATGGACTGTACTGAGTTGTTTAATGCTAGTTGGATTTGTCACCTGTCCTAATATTATCTTTTGCACAGGGAATTTTGTAGAGCAGCTTGGTTCAGCCTATGCTTGGAGAGAATGAGTGGAGCTCAGAAGCCAAAGAGGGATGAAGGCCATGACTTTGTCCTGAGTATTCCAGTGATAGGTCAAGATGGCTCACTTTGGTTCATGTGACTGAATGGACAGAAAGATTTAACTGAGTAATGCACACACACATGTGGAAGCTAGGTGTCAATATTGAATGTCATTGTCAATCACTTTCTACCCTAATTTTTAAGATAGGGTCTCTCACTGAGCCTGAAGTTCACAGATTTGTCTAGGATGGCTTTCCATACTCTGTCTTGAGATGAAAGGAAGAAAACATTGAATTACTAAGTTCAAACTTCAGGAAGCTAGTGACTTGAACACATCCACAAAGTGTGCCTGTGTGAATGCTTAGCTTTTACCGTTGACAATGACCACTTCAAAGAATAGCAGAGAGGATTGGACTGTAAGCACTTACTGCTGAAATGTCAGTTTTTGTTAATCTGCACTCTATCCTGCTCTTCTTTCTCCAGTGCAATGTTGTTGTCAAAAATGCTGGAGCTCAGCAGGGTGTGGTATGGTGATGCATGCCTCCAAGTCTATCACTCTAGAGCAGTGGTTCTCAACATTTGGGTTCGCATATCATATATCCTGTATATCAGATATTTATACTACGATTCATAACAGTAGCAAAATTACAGTTATGAAGTAACAATGAAATAATTTTACAGTTGGGGTCTCCATAGCATGAGGAACTGTATTAAAGAGTTGCAGCATTAGGAAGGTTGAGAAGCATTGCTCTAGAGGCCGAAGCAGAAAGATCTGGAGTTTCAGGTTGGCCTGGGCTACATACCCTGCCTCAAAAACAAAACAAAACAAAAATGCTGCTGTTAGTTTAAATTTTATTTAATTATTTATTGTTGTACCATATATGGTACATGTACCACTTGCATGCCTGGTGCCTAAGGCAGCCGGAAGAGAGTGCTGGATCCCCTGGAACCAGTTACCAATGGTTGTGAGCCACTTTGTGGGTGCTGAAAATTGAACTCAGGTCCTCTGCAAGAGCAGCCAGTTCTCTTAAGCCCCTCTTTTAGTAAATAGGCAATCAGAGGCCTTTATGAAATGCTTTTAACTGGAAGATTTGGCTCCACATACTAACACAACAAACTTCATTTTGTCTCCCAAGACTCTTAAAAATAGACTATTTTTAGAGTAGTTTTAGGCTCATAGCAAACCGAATGGAAAGTACAGGATTCTGACATCCCAACTGCTCATCCCCATTACCTTCCTTCACTACAGTGGAATATTTTAATACTTATAAACCTAGACTCTTTGATTAGTGAAGGAAATGTCAGTGCTTGTTGCTTCCAACATCCTAGAGTAGTTTCTCCTAAAATAGTAACCCTACCAATTTCCAACAAGTCCTGAGAACATCATCTTCTGTCAGTGAGGATCAGGGCCAGTTGACATTCTGGATCTTAATTGTTGCTTGTCATTGAGTTGTTCTCCAGGAATGGGGGGAGGGGGTTCTCTCTGTGGAAGTGTTTGTGTGTTTGTGTGTGTGTGTGTGTGTGTGTGTGTGTGTGTGTGTGTGTGTGTGTGTTAGCCTTAAAGTTTTATCATGTGGTGACAATGTATCACCATAATCAGATAAATCATTCTGTCACAAGGTTCTTTCTTCTATGACCCTTATAAGCAGGGCTAATGTTCTTTCCTCATTCTCCCCAACCTCTATTAGTGTTAGCATTAATCTGTTCTGCATCTCTGTGATACTTAAGAACATTTTGAATGTGAAAATATTAGATGTGGTTTTATGTGTTTGTATTTGTTTGTGTTTCAACTATTTTGGTATAGGTTTGCAGGAGATACTACTTGGTATTGTAGTTTGCAGTGAGGTCTAACTTCTTTTTGATCATCCTTCATCTGCCTGAAAGTCTTGGCTTTCTCCCTTGTAAGACAGCGATGCTAAGAGAACTGCTCCTAGTATATAATGAAGAATTAAACTTGAAACCAGAGCCTAGAGAGTATTATAAGTAACAAGAGCTTAGTATATGGAAGCGATCATTTCAGGAGGCCTTCGGGAGGCCCAAGCCTACTCATCTTGGGTTCATAGGGGTCATGGCAGACACTAAATGTATTTGTCTTTTTCCCAGGTGGTGGTGGTTATGGCAGCAATGATGACCCTGGATCTGGTGGGTATCTATGGCCTAAGGTTTCTGTTGGAACCACAAGGAAGAATAACACTGGTCCACTCTGGTCTTAGAGTTGCTTTTCTTTGCCCTTCCCTGAATGTTTCTGTTAGTCAGCTTTCCATCACCATGAAAAATACTGAAGATATATAATTTAAAAGAAGATAAAACATATGATGGTCATGGTTTTGGAGGTTCTAGTGCATGGTCAGTTGACCCTGTTGCCTTTGGTCCTGTGGAGAAGTGAACTATCATAGCAGACACCCATGATTGAGAAAGCTGCTCACCTACTTTCATGGGTTCTTAGAAATAGATAGCTGGCTATTATAATGCAGCTCTGAAATTCATTCCACTGCAACTCCTTCCCCTGTTGAGGGTGGAACCTCATGATCTAATTACTTCTCAAAGGTTCTATTGCTCCTCATTGCTGCATAAAGGACATTCTTCAACACATGAGTTTTTGAATGGATAGTTCACATCTAAATCACCACAGTTACCAATAGAATCATGAGGCAAACAGCAGAGAAGAGCAACCATTCAGTGGAAGTGACATGAAGTTCTAGGCCCTGGGATAGGTGGCCCAATTGGAAACCAGCTAACTTTAGACACAGATAACCGGCTGGGTCTCTGTAAGAGAGAGGACTGCAATCTGCCTCTCATGTTTCTCAAGATGAAAGTCTTTATGGAACACTGGAAGCACTTGGTAAATCCAAGGGGCTACTGTGTCATTGCCATGCCTTGGGTATCTGTGGCATAGCTCTTCTACATGAACTTGGAGATTATGGACATCTGAGCCAGCATAACTTGAGGCTATCAGAGCAGCAGAATCCTGAATGAACTGTTGGCACTTGGAGTTTGGGGTCTTGTCTACTCAGTTCTATTTATTCTTCCACATCCAGGCATGTCAACAGAAACTGGCACCATTGCAGGTGTTGCCAGTGCCCTGGCGATGGCCCTGATTGGAGCTGTATCCAGCTACATCTCCTACCAGCAGAAGAAGTTTTGCTTCAGCATTCAGCGTAAGTATACACCCAAGCAGGAAAAGGAGCCCAGGCAATTTCTCATCCTTTCCCCTACCTGCTCAATAGCAGTAGGCTTCCTAGGGGGTACACTTTGTACATTTTTAGAAGCAAATTCAGGCTGAACTAAAGTTTATCCTGGTCTGGAAAAACAAATAGGGCCAGACTATGTGATCTTGACTTTCCAGGCGTTTCAACTAGAACAGGCCATACTTCTGTTGGAACAAAGCTCAGTGAACACTGTGATGTTTATTTCCATAGATTGGGAGGAACCCCAAGAGATCCTTATGACCTCAGATCTCATCCAAGTGGGCCTTCAGAGGTCCAGTGTCACAGCCCTTTCTACTGCCAATCAGAATACCATGGTATACTAGAGTATCTTTGGCATGGCAGTGGACATCTTCAGGCCTCTCATGATTCTGGTGTTGCTCCTTTCTGATCTTGATTTCTTGATATGTCACTACCTGGATGCCTCTGTTCCTCCTTAAGTCAGATCATTTAAAAATGTATGAACTCATAGGTTGTTTTAAGGACTAGTAATGAAAGACAAATCATAGAGTGATTTTTTTTCATTCCTATGTGCTGGAATTTTAGAGGGCAGATTGCTTTTGTTTCAGGCTGTAGCCATGAGTACAGTACCTATGGTCTCCAGTCTTAGAAGGCTATTTTCACCCCATGGCCAGAGGGGGAAGCAGGAGTTTAGATAAGCATTTTCCAGATGGCCTTGTGAAGAGATAAAAAGATAACACTTTGAACTTGAGCTAAATTAACTAAGAGAAAAACATGCTACTCTGCATGACTGATCAAAGTCATTAGTGTCATTTAGGAAAATTTTTTTTTATTAATTTCTAACCAGTCTCCTGTTCAGTGATGCTCTTAGACAGTGATAGGTAGAGCCTGGGAATAGCTAGAGGCCTGGTTCTGTCTTCATAACTGCCAAAAGTCTAATTTTGTTGGAAGCACTACATCAGGTCCATTTGTGTCAAAAGTCTAATTTTATTGGAAGCACTACATCCAGTCCATTTGTGACGAAAGTCTAATTTTGCTGGAAGTACTACATCTGGCCCATTTGTGCCCTGGTTTTCTCTTAATTTCTCCTGCTATGTGGTTAGGGAATCCAGTGAAGGTTTCAGCCTTAGCAATGAAAATGTAAGCCCTTCAGCCCCAATGCTTCTCTCCATGCCCCAATTTGGCAGCCATCAGGGTATACCAGAAAGGACATGGTGGTTAGGAGGGCTGACAAGCTGACCAAGCAGACTAGGCAAGCTGACTTGCTTATGTGGGGCTTAGAGCTTTGACTTCATTGTCTCCCCAACTCCTGTATCTGTCCTCCCAAGCTAGAAGTCCGGAGTCCTACAGTGCCTACTCTTGATGAACCACACACATGCTTCCCTCTTACTGTTGCCCATCCATGCCAAGGCCTTTTTCAACCTCTCTGACTCTGTCTCCCTTATACTTCAACTTCTTTAGGGCAGCCTTTTTAAAAATACCTGGACTTCTCCAGGTTCCCTGATGACTACAAGGTCCCAGCCCAGACCCTGAGCTGAACTTGGCATTCAAAGTCCTGGCCATTTGGCTTCTCCCTGTCCCCAGGAAGTCTTCCTTCCTTTTTTCCTTCCCCATAGCCATTTTCTCTGTCTATATATTCTGCCTTCTACAGGGCACAGCCTTTGCTGTTTCCTCTCTGCATTGCTCCTCTCCACTCTTATTGTTCAGGCCTGGGGTATCCTCTTCCAAGGAGCTTTCTCTCTGGCCAGTCTGTGGCTGCATCAATTATGCATCACTGTGCTGCCACAGCACCCCCTGCTGACCTTGTTCGATTCTAAATTAGCCTGCATTTTCCATGTCTGTGGCTAAAACTCAAGCTTGCACTTGTCTTGACTGGCCATTGTGGAACTTTGTGGGACAGTGTGACTGCCACTTGCACTGTGATGGTACATGATCAGGAAGGATTCCAAGGATGCTTTTGTGTGTGGCTAGCTTTTTAAGAATCAGGAGTGTTTGATTCTAATCTCCACTGTCCAGCTGGGCTGCTGATTAGAGTCAACCATAACCTCCAGTGATTTGAGGTCTGGAAGGGCAGATAGAAAGCTCCAGGGAGTTGGCAGGTGCCTGCTAGGAGGACCTGCCCTTACCTCTTTGGCCTCCAACCTCTGTTGTTACCAAAGGAGTTCCCATTTTGGGAACACTCAGTTTCCCTGCCCACCCTCAGTGCCAAGTGTCAGTGAATCTTATATAAATATTCAGTGGGTTTGTTGCCTGGAGATGAGATCTTACTTCAGGGTTCTAAGCTTTGTGTCTTGCCTTCAGATGCAGCAGAAGGGCAAGGTAACAATATGCTTTGACTTACTCATGTTTCTTGTGCTTTGGCCCTGGAAACCTCATTATTCCCTTCTCCCTGCTCTCTACCTCACCTCTCTCCCTGGCATTCACCAACTTGCCTGTGACCATACCATTTGTAGCTTTTCCTGATATGTTGTGAGGATGCCCCCTGACACATCATCTATTCCCAGGCCCAAGATAGCAGGAGTCAGGGATATCCATGGGGTAGATGGGGGGACTCAGATACCGATGGGTGAACATATCCCAGAAGCCACTAGAGGAAAAAGGCTATCTTCGTTTTGCCAACTGGGAATATGGGCAGTGGTCTGGGAGCCTGGGGCATGTCTTCCAGCTCCCACCCATTGGCACTGGGGCCATCACCTGCCTGACTTTGCATGGTAGTTATCCACCCCTGCTGAAGAATACTGCCTACATTTTTCACAGGCCCATCTGGCTTTTGCTTTGAACCTAACAGCTATTAAGTCAGGTAAAAGTCAGGAAAGTGATTTGTGTCCAGTGAGTTGGCCAGTTAGAATCAGAACCCATTTTCCCTCAGGCCCTCAGTTATTGAGAGAGAAGACACAGAAGATAAGAAGACTTATACAAACAGGGGTGGAGGGCTGCTCCGAGTCTCTGAGTGAAGAGGATGCTTTGTTGAGTTGCTTCATTGCCCTTGGGGGTGGGGGGAGCCAGATCACAAACTAGAGTGGGGGTGGGAGGAGCCAGATCACAAACTAGAGTAGATCAGCTGTTTGTAGACCCTGGCCCTCCAAGCATGGGTGGAGACATCAGTCATTCCTGTGGTCAGGAGAAGCTAGTTGGCTTCCTTGTGCATGCAGGTGCTGCTGGGAAGGTCATATGCTGGCATTTCCAGAGTGAGCCCTGCACATCCATATCTGTCCTTCCTTACCCTGCATTCATCAGTCATCCCCTTAGCTCTTGGCTCCTTCTCCCTCTCCACCTCCCTGGACTCTGGGCCTCATGTGGTCCTATGGATGGTCCAGAGCACTGTCATTTGGTACCCTCTTTGCTGGATATAGCTGTTGTCTTGACATGATGGCAGTGGCCCTTTATGGAAGGGGGGGAGGTTTGTTGGGCCTTTGATGCATGATGCTGTTTGCAAGGATGGGATGAGAAGTTCTTGGCAATTTGCTCCTTGGTGGCCAGTCTTTGTCAAGATGATGTGCTGGTGATCCAGGTTCAGGGGCACTGGCAAAGTTTACTGTCAAAGAGGACTCAATCATGAGGGCTACTTTGTTTCCTTGTGCCTCCTTTACTTTGCTCTGGCTCTTTTCAGAGGGCCTCAATGCAGACTACGTGAAGGGGGAGAACCTGGAAGCCGTTGTGTGTGAAGAACCCCAAGGTGAGGACTTCTCCATCACTGTCCTTTGCTGAAGGCTTTCCAAATTCAGTGGCTACAGCACTGAATAGAACTGGGTTAGGAAGGCCCAGAAGAATTGGCTTCTGGAATGTCTGCTAATCAAAAAACTTCAGGGGCCCAGGTTTGCCTGAATACTGTGACTGGTCAGCTGGCCTCCCTGTTTCTTGAGAATGGGGACACTGGTGTCATGGTGATAACTTCTAGGTTCTTTTGCTGCTCATCCCCAACTATTGAATCATCTGAATGTGATCCTGGGACACATTACTTCTTTGCCAGCAGACACACATATACCCTGGGCGTGCTCATCCATAGCTGTGGAAGGTTTTGCATGTAGACCTCTAGTCGATTTTTTTAAATTTTTGTATGTTTGTGACAAGGTCTCAGATAGCCAAAACTGGCCTCAAACCCACTATGTAGCTGGGAGTAGCCTTGAATTCTTGATCTTTGGCTTCTACCTCCTGAGTGCTGGGATTATAGGTGTGGATTCACATCTGTCTCTAAACCTTTCAATTAGAAAATGACTAAAGACAAGGAGACACATAATTAAAAGCTAATGTTCTATTACCCTCTCTGGGGTCATTGAGCACTTTTGGGGTTCAGTGGCTACCATAAACTAGAGGCCACATATGGTAAGGCCAAATGAGAGGGAGATGGACATTCTTGTGGTCCAAGAATGCTGATGGGAAGGCATGGCGTCATGAGGCAGTGGGATAAGCCTGCTCTCCTTCAGCTGAGCCTGTGGTGGCACAGACAAGGAGAAAAGGAGAGACCAGAGCTACAGGACAGCAGCTATGGAACCTGGGTGCTGAGGAAGGACCTGGCCATACCTGGTCTATAATGGAGAATGAGGTTCCCCAGGTCACTGCGTATAGAAGTTATCTGGTAGTGCAGCACTAAAGGTATGGAAATGGTCCTGGATACAAATGCAGAGTTGTGGATTATATAGGAGCATTCTGCCACAATTTTAATAAATTAATCAACAATGAGTGAGCACCCAACGACAGAGTGCTATGATGAATGCTTTAGATCCAGTAATCCAGAAGTTTTGACAGAAGCATGCCCATTTCCTAGATAAGGAAATAGAGGCAGAACTCTTTTGTGCAGCATGACAGGCTTCTGCCTTTATTCTCCCTTGGCCCACCCTGAACTTGGCCTCTGAGGCCTGTAGCAGTCCCTACAGGGGGCACTGAGCAGGCTTGGGATGTGCTGAATTGTCCATGAAATATGAAACTGAACTTTTAACAGAACTTGGTTAGAGCAGAGGTTGAAACTCTCCTAACACATGTCTTCTCTCCCTAGTGACATACTCAATACAAGAAACGCAGTCTGCAGAGCCTCCACCACCAGAGCCGCCCCGGATCTGAGGCCCTGTTCAGTGGCAGGTTCACAGAAAGGGTACCACTGCTTGTGACCCAGCTCCAGATTTCATTTGCTGACCCTTCCCTCAAGTTTCTTCCCATGCCACTGGCTTCTTATTGTGCTGAGTTTTCTGGACAAGCCTTAGGTATTTGTGAGTGTAGTTTCTGTGCCCTGTCCTGAAGAATATGGTGACTGCTCTGCCACAGGTCCTCTGAAGAGACTTGGTGCTGAGACTTGAGACCTGCCTTAGGCAGATTGCCAGCATTGGAAGTTGCTGGGCCATAGAGACAGTCTGCTCTAGCCTTAGCATGGGATAAAGGTGGTAGAACCAAGGTGATGGTAAACAAGAGGATGGTGGAGACAGTGCTCAAGGAAAACATTTCTGCTTAAGCAATCCCTAGGTACTATGAGACTCTTTACCTATATGCTGGAGGGTTGCTGTGGCACTAACCACTAAGGGCTGTGAGTAGGATGCTCAGCTAGCATCTGGCACATATGAAGCCCCTGCAAGAAGCAAATCAGCTAGCATCAAGCTTCAACACACACACACACACATACACACACACACACACACACACACACACACACACACACACACACACACACCATGTAACACCTAGGCATTTTTTTTTTTTGGTTTTTCGAGACAGGGTTTCTCTGTGTAGCTTTGCGCCTTTCCTGGAGCTCACTTGGTAGCCCAGGCTGGCCTTGAACTCACAGAGATCTGCCTGGCTCTGCCTCCCGAGTGCTGGGATTAAAGGCGTGCGCCACCAACGCCCGGCTTACCTAGGCATTTTTTAAAATTTTATTGTTCTTTCCAACTCCAGGTTTTATATTGATCAGATTCCAGAGAGCTTGTCCAGGTGGGGGCTCTTCAGTTATTTTAGTGCAAATATGCATCTCACAGTAGTCTCACCCTGAGTTTAGGAATCTGGAGAACAATGTAGGAGCTGTGACTTGCAGGCTTGATTCCCATCAGATTTCATAAGGGTCTCTGGCTGGTCTGGAAACTTCTGCATTGGAAACAAATTTTCTACCATTTGGGGGTAGGTGCTCACCCCTGCCCTGTACATGATCTTATTTGAGTAGCAAGAGCTACAGATCCTGAGAATGAACATGGAAACCAGAAGAATGATTGCTGTTTTATTAGAAGCGGATGGGGAAGGGGGAAGGGGGGGCAAGGAAGCTGGCTCAGCTGAGTGGAATGTCCCTGCTGCCTCTGTAGTTGTAAAGCTGTCCTCCCTGTCTGCTATGATGAAGAGGGCTCTGGCCATGTTCACAGTGGTAAATGTAGGAAACCAAGGACTAGGGCTTCACCTGGCTGGCCCAGAGCTGCCTGCTACCACCTAGTTTGGGCAAGAGCTGGCTACTTCCTGGATTGTTCCATTGGCTTTTGGCCCTTGGCTCCAGTGAGCTCTGCACTGAACCCTGCAGTTGAAAGCTAAGCTAAATAATGTGAACTAATAATTTGCCAGGTCAAAATGCACTTCAGAAAGCAGAGTGTATCACTGGGAAGGCAAGATCCTACTAACAAAACTCACAGCTCCTCCGGACAACATGATTGCCCCATATATTCCACAGGCTGTAAATTGGCTCCTTCATATCCGCTGAGCTGGGATAAGGCAACGCCCACCTTAAGAAACCACTGAAATCTTTTGCTGTCTAATGCATGCCTTGAGTGTGTTTGTTGTTTAAAGACTATTCACGGTGGAGGGCTGGTGATGTCATGTCTCCAGGCAGCCTGAACACCCATTCCCTGTGTGTACCTATGGACTATGAGATGTCCCTTTTGATTGGCCTTTGATCCCAGACACAGTAGGTCTGTGGATCTGATAGGGAGACTGGAGCACTGGGGAAATGGTACCAAGATGGGAAAAAAAAAAAACATGGCCTCAGGAATCCCCCTTTATTCTTCAGGAAGTTAATTAGCAAGGGAGGCATTACTTGCAAGACGTGTCAGTTTCCAGAACCTCCTAACTTGCTGGTTAGATTGCTGTCAACTTCATCAGGATTGTGCCTCACCAAGGACACCAATGGTGGTGCCACCCTCTGGCCAGTGCTGAGCTAGAGGTGGCTTAAAGGAAGACTTTTAGTATCTCTGGCCTGTTGACATGTAGCTAAGGTAATCTCACGGGGGTTGTCTACTTTACCTTTATGCTGAGGCCTGTCTGATGGCAAAGCCCTTGAACTTCACAGCCATGATGTAGAATAAATGCCCTCTTGTGAAACTGTTTTATCAATAGCACTGGTTCCAGTGAAAAAGAGCTCTACTTTGCTCTCCCTTAGCTACCTCGGTGCCTTCTGCATAAAGCCCTTCTGCATAAAACCCATCACTCAGCCCGCAGGCGCTAGCTAAGTGGCTGGACAGGCCTGGGCGGGCCATCGGCCTCCTGTTCATACAATCTCATCCCAGGGGCCGGGCTCCTCCTTCCCACTGGCATTTTATACTTGCTGGGGCATTGTGGCCTGTAGAAGTTTTGGGACTGGTTTTGTAACTATGTCCCCCCTGAAGGCTGAGTTGGCCAACTTGAGCTAGTCCCAGGTGATAGAAGAGAGAAAGCAAATGAAGAAGACCCACTTGCCAAGATCAGATCTGTATCATTGTGACTTGACAGGAAGAACTTAAAAAAAAAAACAAAAACTCAACATTCTCAAGTGGCTTGATGTAGGGGGCTGCCCACCCTGGTGTGGGACAGGCCCACTATCTCAGCCACTTGGGTTGTGGTTAGTACCAGTTCTCTGAGGAAGACATGCTGGAGACTGCCAGAATCCCTGTACATTGTTTTATGTGCTTGTGTCCAAGTGTGAATTGTAAATGGTCTAGTGTTTGCATTAAACAAAATGGAATCCAACATCTCCTTGCGTTCTGATGCTATCCATCTTTTCTAGTTGTCATTTTTGATATGGTACTGACTTCATTCCCCTCTCAGCAGCCAAAGGTGTGTCTTGAGCATTGCTATTATTCCTCCCACAAAGTGCCCAATCTCGGGGCTTCTGATGGTGGGCTCACATGGTACAGGAACTGCAGCATGGCATGTTTGACATATTGGAATGAGAGAGAGGCCAGAACAGAGCACCCTTGCCACAGCATCAGTTCCTTTGGGAGGATCAGCATTGGCTCTACCATCCAGGTAGCTCTGGAGAATACTGCTCAATCCTGAAAGTGAGTGTGCTTTCTTCCATGGGGACACTATTAGAGATGGTAGCCTGGGAAGTAGTCCAATACTCCTATGCCTAATATTGGGCTCTCTTGCTAACTCAGCCATGATTCACATGAAGAGGATGAGTAACGTCAGACCATTAAAGAATGATGACACACAGGAGATGGTGTAATTTCATACTAGGTTTTAGAACCTTGAAAAAGTACACAGTCCCATAGAGTGGTCAAGGACCAAAGAGAACACTGCATTTGCATAAGGAGGACCCACTGCCTCTGGTTATTCCAGGTCTTGTGTCTTCAACATTTCTTCAAGGTTATGAACAAGGGGACTTTCAGATTTGAAAATCAGATCACCTACCAGTTCCAGCCCAAACACTCAAGACTCCCAATAAATTACTGACAACTTGGTAGTCAATCAAATAGCATTGGGCACTTTACATATATTAACTGTGGCGGGCACATAGTAAGCATTCAACACATGGTACTTGATTAGTACTCATTTTCCTCAGGGGGGAAAAACCTACTGGAATGTTTAAAAGAGAGAGACAACAAAAAAACCAAGGAGTAAACATATTATAATTTTAATTGCAGGTTGGAATACAGTGCATCAGATGAGGCAAATACAATATTGTACTAGTTGTTTAAAAATCTGAACCTTAAAGGTTTTACATTCTAGTACTTAAATAAAACAAACATGAAAGAATTTCTTAGATAAGAAAACTACACTTCAAGTTGTTTTAGAAACAGTTCTGTGCTAGAAACATACAAAGGGAAATACTCTCTTGTGCTTCTTTAAGATCCAATGGAAATTTCTAGGAGTGCTGCAGGCACACAGCTGGGAGGACATGGCTTGGCCAGGAGCCAGATCCCCATTCCACCAGCCATATGTACCAGGCTACCTGACCTCACCAAGCAGCAGCCCCCATGGCTTCTCTGGTTCTGGTTTGATGATGTCAAAGCATCATCCAGTCCACCCTATGTTTAATAGTCCTATTATTGCTAGGGAATTACACAGTATTTCTAGGGGAAATGGGTAAATGTTCCCAGTTTATATGAAGGAATAATATTGTAGTTTATGTTACTTTCTTTTTGGTATTGACTTTGAGACAGTGTTCCACAATATAGCCCAGCTGGTCTAGAACTCAATATATAGCCAAAGCTGGCCCTGAACTCACAGCAGTCCTATCTCAGGCATGGCAGTTTATCCATTTACAAATAAGGTTTTGTATACATGAGAATAAATCAAAAGCTAATATCACTTAAACTATAGTTTAGAAACAAATACCACAGATGATAAAAAATGGAGACTTGATCTTAGCTTATCAAACTTTGAATAAATGTCTCTGGTTATCTTATGGTTGGATAGTTTTCTGTAAGAATCTGAAGGTTACAAGTTGAAAAAAAATCATCTATTTTCTATGTATGCAGTTGTAGAAAACTCTTTAAGAATACATTTTGAAAATCTAGGTCAATGTGTAGAACTGCATGGCATCCAGTGATTTGACAATGACCAGAAGAAGATGTGATGCATCTGTGCTCAGGGGCTTCTCTCTGCAGCTTCAAACACATCTCCAAATCTGAAGGACCTTGTGACATGCAAAAATGGGCATGGCAGTGAGGATGGGGATGCTGGTACTGCACACAGAGGAGCTGAAGAGAAATTCATTCCTAGAAGGACTGATGGAGGAGCAAAGCTCATTTGTTAACTGTGGAGAGAGGCCTGGATAGCCAAGGCTGGCTCTGAGAAAGGAAAATCAAGGAAGAGCATGCTATGCTTTCTAAACCAAAGCTTCAGCACATTGGTTGCTTTAAAGTATAGACAGGCAGCCATGTGAATAAACTGAGAAGAGATTGTGATAAATGAAGATGTGGTGTCCAGGTATCTAACAGGTCAAAGACTTGCTCTAACACTGGTGCTGGACATCTTAACAAGTGGTAGGATGGAAGGTCCAATGCCCAGAGTAATTCCCAAGACTTTATCCTTTAGAGAGCTGACATAGAGGGAGGCCAACACACACACAGAATTACTGCTTGAGTCCTCAGTTTTACCTGCAACAAGGCCAGAGGACTGAGCATTCAGTTTGCTATATCTTGAGGGAACCTGCTGCTACCTCTATCAAGGAATGAATGGGTTGTGCCACCTCAAAAGGAAGTACCAGAATTAGAGGACAATATTACATTGCCACTGAGATGACACATCTGAAATCATAATTCAAATGTACCACATGAAAGTCAGCATGAACTTTGTTAGGCAAGAATTTCTCATACATCACAGTTCAGCAGATGACTCCTGAGAGAACTATACTAACATAAAAAAGGACATAGGAAAATAAAGGTATGTTTCTCTTTAAAAAATACCTTGTATGTACACAGCGGTACATATTGTACCAATTGTATAGGAGGACTTCTTTCATGAAGATAACTGTAGAACAGGTGGCAGTGGTCCATTTGCCACACTAACATTTCATTTAAAAAGTTTTCAAATTGTGCCAAAAGGCTGAGAGCAGTAACATGGCTGGCGATGTGTTCTATACGTGAACAGGTTGTTCCTAACAAAGGACTTAATTTGGAAAGAAGTGGTATGAGATTCTCTTAAGCTGAAATACTGCACTGTATTCAATCTAGTTTCTCCCAAGCTACCTGTATAAGACAAGGTAGTTCACAGGGTGACTGTGACATGTTGCTCCTCTGTGAGACTACCCTCAAGAGTGTCACAAGCTGTTCACACAAAGGAAGTACTTGTTAACAATAGGAGCTGTCAGCTAGCCACACAAATGGTCCCTGGGCCTAATCCTAAAATGACAAGACAGAACCATATAGCATCAATGGCCAGGTCCCTGAGCTGCTGGAAGACAGTAGAGCAGTAGGATGGCCCAGGACACTGGCCTTGCCCATCAGACTGAGGTGTGCACAGGAGTGGCTGAGTGGGTAGGTGAAGAGCCCCTCTCAGAAGAAGATGAGATGGTTCGTGTGGCCACCTCCCGCTGCAGGTCCTCTACACGCTTCTGCAGCTCAGCCTTGACAGCCAGCAGCTCCTTGAGATTCTGGTGAATGGGCATCTGGCAGTGAAGAGAGACAAGGCTGTTAGCACACTGTTGTTGGAGCATGGTTTGCTCTAAACACAGCATTTCAGTATCTAGGCTCATACCCTAATGGTTCTTTCACCACCCAGATGCCTATGTGTCTAGTCTCCTAGACCACTGACCAATCTTGCACCAAGTGTAAGTGATTGTCTTTTAAGGTCAAGATTTCTATTCCTGTAATAATATACAAGAACCAAAAACAACTTGTGGAGGAAAGGGTTTATTTTATCTTACAACTCTCAGGTCACAGTCACTGAGGAAGCCAGGGCAGGAACTCAAAGCAGGGACCTGGAGGTAGGAGCTGAAGAAGAGGCCATGGAGGAATGCTACTTACTGGCTTGCTCTTCATGGCTTGCCCAGTCTGCTTTCTTATAGAACCCAGGACCACCAGCCCATAGGTGCCACGGCCCTCCCACATCAATCATCAAGAAAAAAAAAAAACACCATAGGCCAATCTTATGGAGGCATTTTCTTAACTGAGTGTCCCTTTTCCCAGATAACTCTAGCCTGGGTCACATTGACATAATACTAACTAACACAGTGATTCTGTCTCCACAAGTTGAAGCTTTTGATGGCTACCCAGGCTGTTCTGCAGATATTGGGGACAAGCTAGGCATGAAGAGGCATTGGGATAGGCCAGCCATCCTCACTCTCTATTCTCTTTGCTCTCAGGAAGGAGCAAACAGGTTCAAGGATAGCCAAGTCAACCAAGGCTACCATGTATAGACTCAAGAGACAGGCAGCCTTTGGAGGAGTCACAAATGCAAGTAGCTTCTCCCAAGTTGCTGGACTAAAATGTGATCATGAGACCCCAGCTCCATTATCCCTGTACTTGTGAATTTTTATAAATAGCTCCACTGGCTGCAGACACTTCTGTTAAGTCAGCACTTTCTTCAACATAGAGGTCCACATTTTCATCAACCAGAACAGGAGCTAGCAGAAAGACCCTGGAGGGCAATGTCAGAACACAGGGGCTCTAGGGAGGCCAGTCCTTTGCTTACCACTTAGTACTTTTTCACTGTTTCACCCTGATCATCTTTTCACCTGATGATGGTAGGGGAGCACAACAAAGAGATGAGAAGGTCCTAGTATTTATATTCATCATGTTCAGCTTTCTAAGCTAACGGACATCCCCAGCACCTACTAGGAGCCCAGAGACTGGAGACGCAGCTTTTCCCTTATAGACAAAAATGCCCTAATAGATTTCTCAGACTGGGGGTGATAGTGAGCAGTAAAGAAGGTCACCATCTGGGGACAAAGGAGGCATTGGGAGGGTCTGGAGAGCTTTATTTCCTTTCTCATTCATTGTACACACAGCAGCTATTGGACTTGGTCATAAACCTCAGGGACACAATATGGCTTACTACATAACATGCTTCAGTGGCTACTTCCTCAGGGCTAATAGTAATATCTTGAGCTTGGCCTCTAAGTCCCAGTCTGCTTCTCAAGCCTACCTCTCACCAGGTCCTGCTTCTACATCCTAAAACACTTGAAAGTACCATCCTGAGTGTTATTGGCAATCATCGCTCTTAAGTGGAATGGGAGAGACCGAACAAGACTGACAGGAGGAGAAAGAGCAAAGGCAGCCAGGTGCCTTCAAACAACAGAAAGGTTAAAAACAAAACAAAAAAAACCTTCCATTTTGGCAAGCTACAGAAAAAGAAAGAAATGCCATTAACACATAGCAAAGGCTGGCTCCAGAGCCCATTGTGTACTGGGAAAATGCTCCATTTCTCCCTTAGGATCTCTGCGTTATTTGCCACACCCATGGGACCATTTAGCCCAGTCATAGGTAGTAATACATTTTAATCAAGCCTTTATCAGTAACCCACATGTAACCTTGGGTGCAAAACATACAGGGTCTGCTCAGTGAACTGTTATCACTTTATATCTTCATGTAGCTTTTTGTATATTTTCTCACAGGTCAGCTTCATTTTTAAGCATGTGCTGTGGGATGTTCTGTATGTTGTGAATGTGATGCTCTGAGTGGTTGATAAATAAAATACTGATTGGCAGGAAGTATAGGCAGGATAAGGAGACGAGGAGAATTCTGGGAAGAGGAGGCTGAATCAGGAGACTCCAGCCTGCAGTCCAGGGAGTAGCATGTAATGGCACACAGGTAAAGCCACAGAACATGTGGAAACATATAGATTAACAGAAATAGGCTGAGTTTAAGTGTAAGGGCTAGTCCATAGTAAGCCTGAGCTAATGGCCAAGGAGTTAAAATTAAGATAAGCCTGTGTGTCTGTATTTGGGAGTAAGCAGCTGCAGGTTGTGAGTAGGAGAGATTTGTCCCAACTGCAGGGCTGAGGTGGGACACATGAGAAGTTTTGGCTACAAATGGTGCCAAAACGTGGGACCTAAAACTTGAGAAAGCTTTTTAAAAAAAGATGTGGTGATACTGTGTCCCCCAAAATACTGTGTACCCTGATAAACTTATCTGGGGTCAAAGAACAGAACTGCCACTAGATACAGAAGCTAGAAAATGGTGGCACACATGCCTTTAATCCTAGCATTCCAGAGACAGAAATCCCTCTGGATCTCTGTGAGTTCAAGGCCACATTGGAAACAGCCAGGCATGGTAACAAGAGCCTTTAATCCCAAGAAGTGAGCCTTTAATCCCAGGGAGTGGTGGTAGAAAGCAGAAAGATATATAAGGTGTGAGGACCAGAAACTAGAAGATTTTGGCTGGTTAAGTTTTTAGGCTTTAGAGCAGTGGTTCAGAGATTCATTCTGGATGAGGACTCAGAAGCTTCCAGTGTGAGGAAACAGGATCAGCTGAGGAATTGGCAAGGTGAGGCAGTTGTGGCTTGTTCTGCTTCTCTGATCTTCCAGAATTCACCCCAATAACTGGCCTCAGGTTTGATTTTATTAATAAGACCTTCTAACAATTCATGTTACAAAAAGATTAGAAAATGGAGCTAAAAACAGATTCCTAGTTGTGTCTCTCAGGCAAGCCGTGAGCTACAGTATGGTGGTTTTGCAGCATGTGGGCTTGACCTGTGTACTGCTGTGTACCCACTGTAGAACACAGAGGCGTCTTCAAGCCACACAGTATGCTACGTGCTGGATTTGGCTTTTGCTAGTACAGGGAAAAAATGGTTTCTGGGCTACACGCTGCTGAATGGAGGCATAGACCCACTGCCTCCCAGAGTCAGCAGAGAGCATGGCTCTCAGAGATGGAGGTGAAATTACCTCCGCCATTTTGAAAAGCTGAAATGGGCAGAGTCAGTAGCCAAGGCTGCTGCTTCCATTCTAAAAACACAGTTTTGCAGTTTAAAAGCTCTCCTGGTCAGAGAAGGATCATAGATTTACAGTAAGTCAGATTCAGATTGAATAAGACTTTAAATGATTTACAATGTATGTAAAAAATGTACGTAGGCTTAGAAGGGAGAGGAAAAGGAACATAAACAGTTATATTAAAAAAATAGAAAGTTTTAAAAAATAAAGTCTTTAAAGAGAAAGTAAAAATAATATAAAAGATAAGCCACATAAAGATGGAAACCACACAAAGAGTCTTGATTACAATGTCTTTAGGACTTTTTACTGCAGACATTCGATTGTAAAGGCTGCTCAGTTAAACCAATGTGCATATTTTAAAGGTATCTTGACTTCAAAATTTAAATCTAAGGATATGTTGCTTTGGAAAGGAGGCTATGGATTTGTTCCAGGTTAAGATGGATCAGGTTTGACCAGCCAAGACCCCATGAAAGGTCTCTGATGACACCATGGCCCAGACTACTCCAGTCAGGCCTTGACCATAATTCTTAATTTTCTCAGGATCCCCATAAGAATATCAGCAGGAAGTATCCTAGAAAATTACATCCACATTCCCAAAAATGGACTATAGATGTGTGTCTTTGTTTAGGTTGTTGATTACAAATTATTATTGGTCATAATCTCTTTTTAAAAGAAGAAAGGAGGATATGATATGGAGATATAGGATATAGATCTGATAGGATAAAAGGATGGATTGTTGAACTTACTTTTAAAGAGAAACTTGTTTAAAATGTTTTACATTGGTATAGACTTTAGTTTATTGATACAAATTTTAAGTTAATTTTGTTATACTGTATGTATATTTCTACTCTTGTTTAAGGTATTATGTTTATGTAACTCATTTAAATTGTAATGGATAATTAAGAAATACAGATTAATAATTAGTCTTCTACGACAGTCAAACTTATAGTCATGTTAAGTTTTCTAGGTATACATAGATATAGTTCAATTAGGTAGATAATCCTCAAACACTTCAAAGACCTACAGAATATGGCATTTAAAATGTTTTAAAAACTTAGACTTTCTGGACAGTGAGACACATCTGCTCCTGGCAGCACCAATTTACTTCAGAGAGAACTAGAATATATGAGACTGAAGCCAAGAGGGCCCTAAGAGGATACCCATTGCCATACACCATACACATCCTTTGCTGGATGCTGACATGGAGGCCCTCAGTAGCCAATCTTGCTACTTCCTTGTCTAAGAGACCTGATGTCCTATGTCCTTCCTTTATTCTGCACACTTTTCTCTATTTCAGTTGGCTCAGTGTCCTACCATTTTATATCCACACCAGCTATCTGTATATTTCCCAATCACAGCTTTCAGTGCACCCACCCTCCCATCCATCTGAATGCTGTCAGTGGAGAAGCAATCTTTTAGAACACATACCTGGCCTTGTCATACAAATGCCACCTGCCCCTCTAGAATTTGCTGACACCAAAGTTCTACCTGCCACCCAAAACATTGTGTGCTCAGCACACTTAGGATGTGTTTGATATGTTTGCTGTATTTAGAGGAGAAATTTATGACTCATAGATAGCCTTCTCAGTTCTCCCTTTTATATAGCACTGTGTAGGGAAAACACAGAATGCTGCCTTCCCCTACCTGCCACTTTCCCGGGATGACACCATGGTGCTGTGTACTACTTGGCACAGACATGCTTATATGCCCCTATGAAGGCTCAGTGAGGTTCAGGA